AAAAAAACTCTTACCCCACGTCGATAAAACAGAACATCTATTCGGTATCAAACCGACTGTCGATAACATAGACCACAAATTGACATCAAACTTACCTCAAATCGATCAATAAACTTCAATACCTCCATTTAATCCCACCAGAGCGGCGTAAGTATCGGTCTTTCTCGCATATACTTATACTACAAGTCATTTGAATATATACAAAATTCATCATCACATCAAATAAGTGCATATCACATCAACACCAAAGCTGATACACGGTAAAGGTATCAGCTCTGCTGTTGGGGTGGTAGCATTTTGACCTCAAACAATCGACCAACAAATCGATGACAATCCCCCAACAGTCGGTAAATATCAATCACCCAATCGATGATAATCACCCCCAACAGTCGGTTAATATCGATCACCAAATCGATGATAATCACCCCAACAGTCGGTAAATATCGATCAACAAATCGATGATAATCCCCCAACAGTCAGTAAAAAAAAAATCGACCAACAAATCGATGATAATCCCCAACAACAGTCGGTAAGTAGAGCACAAAAACCAACCATCGATAATGCAGAAACTCCACCAACGACCGTCGATAAGACAGAAACCCAAGGTCGATACTGCAGAAATCTACTTTATCGGGGGGTCAAACCGGCCTTGCTTATCTACTATTTTAGAAGAAAAAATACTATTTATTCATGAAAAAATACGATATAACTATTGTAAAAAGTATTGAAAATTTCCAGTGCTGCCTCTGTATCTTTTCAATAGAACTATAGCAAATTTTACAATAGTTGAATTGGATGAATGTCTCTCAATTAGTGTGAGTGATGGCCGTGCATAGCGCTAGACTCTTAGTTTATATAAATGTTAAAGGACATGGGTCTTAGTTTACCTCGGATAGCCTAGAGGGAGAGTCTCTGGCTGCCAACACAGAGTTCTGGGTTCGATTCCCAGATAACATGAAAATATTTGTTTCTTTTTTCGATTACTGTACAGGTACCAATTCGTGCAACCTTCTATCTCTCTCCCTCCCTAATATTTCTTTTAAAAAAACCAACTGTGAATTTTTACAATAGTTGAATTGTAAAGTTCACAAACACATATTGTATAATTTGCTCTATAGTATTCGACTTTTTAAAACTCTTGCTAGTCTTATTTGTTGAATAAAATTTACAATAGTAGATCGTAAAAATTACTAAATGAGAAGTATAGTCCACCGTTACTATTTTATTTAGTAAAAATTACAATAGTAGAATAGTAATAACTCCTTCAATTTTCTTCCCGTATATTTGACGGTAGGTTACCATTGGAATACGGTAGTGCGGAAAGTTCAGAAGTATATATTCTACCGTATTTTCACCGTACACTACCGTAGTTGTACCGTAATTTTACCGTTTTATACCGTATTTTCACCGTTCTTTACCGTACGTTACGGTGTTTTACGGTTTCTACCGTGCAAGTAGAATGCTACTGTAATCTACGGTGGCCATACGGTATATCGACCGTATTTTTACCGTATAATACGGTATTTTACGGTATTTTACGGTATTTTTACATGATCATGCGAAGCAATGTAAAAACTAAAAGTACACGGCCCAGCTTGGTGAAGTCCAATCATGATTGATCATACAAAGTCACGCACGGTCAAGCAGGCTCGTGCTTGATCATTCTGGCCACTCACAGGTTGTCATGTATGGTTAAGCTTGGCGAGGAATAATTGTACATATCTATTCAAGACCATGCATAGTCATGCATGATAGTTTTAGCTGCGTTGGAAGTTATCGTGCATGATTAGACTTGGTCAAGGATGAATATGTAGTTTCTTACATGCACATGCTTTATTATGCAAGCTCATGCACGACCTTTCAGTTTGATTGTATACAGTCGTGCATTCTCGAGCATGACTGTATATGGATCATGCAAGGTCATGCAGGATTGTTTATGATCACCCAGTATTTAAATGTATGATTGAGTATGACCTTGCATGAATCATGCTTGACCAGGCAAAATCATTCATGATTCATGCATGCTTATGCATGATTATGCTTGATTCATGCTCGGTTAAGCATGGTCATGCATGCAGATTTTTTCCCGGGAAGTGTGTTTACAACTGACTTATAGGTTATATCATTCTAATTATCATGGTTGGGACAATTAAAATGATACTCACTACTTTATCTACAGTTTCTCCCGGTAATATTTAAATTAAGTTGTGCAATTTGAGATCCATCTTATTACATTCAATCAACTTGTCAATAACTACTGATACCACTATTATCACAAGTTTACGTTACAATTTTACAAGTATAAAAATATGAAAATATATAAAAATAATAATAACAATGTAAATATTATCTTAGGTCACATTTATCAAAATATTAAAAAATACTAAAAAAAAAAATTTTTTTTTTAAATAAAAACCGAACTTCAAACACGGTTTCTCAAGTTCCAGATGATGCCATTGTATAAAACACTCAATCCTTGGGTGTCAGATCTGAAGTTCACGTTGTTCGACGCTTGAATATGAATCATTTCGCTCACGTTCCTCTTGAAAAAGTTGTTTTCATAATCCAATATTTTAACTTTATCAAATTGGAAACTGTGACCAGTGTCGAAATGATGTGCTGCTAATGCTGTTCTATTAGTCTTAATGATATTCTCCGGCTTACAGTCATTTTTGTGTTGCTGAATTCTTGTTTTCAGCTTCTGTTTTGTTTGTCCCACGTACACTTTATTACAGGAACAGGGTATCTTGTACACCAGGCAAGACTTGTTGTCGTTGCTGATTTTGTTTTTTACCTGGCTGTACAACAATTTTACCTTTGATATGTTGTAATACACCAATTTACAATTGGTTGGTCTGAACAAGAGCCTAATTCTTGATGATAAAGTGCTAATAAACGGGAACCTACAAAATGACCACTGCCTATTCCCAGCGTTGCTTCTGAGATTATTTTTGATCCATTCTTTAGCTGTTGTTTCACATCTCTTAATGACCGAACCCGGGTAACCATTCCGTAACAGCAATTCTTTTACCTTATTCACACTCACTTCTACCTTGGATTGATGACTGACACGTATAGCTCTGTTCAAAAAACCTAAGCCTACTCCAAGTTTTTGACATAAAGGATGATTTGACATGAAGTTCAATATCCTACCAGAGCTACATGGTTTGTTGTACCAGCTAGTAACTAGTTCCCCATCAACTGATCTATAGATCAACACATCCAGGTATGGAAGACAGCCTTCATTTTCCATCTCAACCGTAAATTGAATGTTCTTATCAATAGAATTGAACTTCTGAAGTGTTGAATCCACCTGATCCGTTGGTAGTGCTGTGAAGAGGTCATCAACATAAGCTTTAAACGTTGGAACTTCAAAGTCAAGTAGATCTAAGGCCTTCGATATTACATAGTCAACTGCGATAATTGCTAACACGGAACTAGCTGGACTCCCCATAGCACAGCCTTCTTTCTGGAGATAAAACTTATTATCAAACAGGAAATATCCTGAGTCGAAGCAAAAATTCTATCAACTCAATTAGGAGATCTTTATCTAAGTCGACGTGCTCACTGATTTTATCACAGCGTTCATCGATGATTTTGATGACCAGGTCCTTATGAACATTTGTAAAGAGTGAAACGACATCAAATGATACCAAAACATAGCAATCTTCCAGCTTCACTGACTTGATGCTATCAACTAGTTGAAACGAATCCTTTACGTTGAATTCTAAACTCATCATATAGGATGATAGAATTCTATGTACGTATTTAGCTATTTCATAGCCAGATGAGCCAATGCTGCTCACTACTGGTCTCAACTTGCAACCAGTTTTATGCGTCTTGCGAAGCCCATGAATCCGAGGTGGTATGACACTGTAAGTGCGCACACGGAAAGAAAAATATGGGAACCATTCCCATAATTTTATGGGAACAGTTCCCAGGTAATTATAGGAACTGTTCCCATGAATTATGGGAACTGTTCCTATAATAGTATAGGAATGATTCCTATAGCATTATGGGAACCATTCCCATAATATTATAGGAATAGTTCCCATAATATTATGGGATTAGTTCCAATACCGATATAGGAATAGTTTCTATAATAGTATAGGAATTTTTCCTATAGCATTATGGGAACCATTCCAATAGGAATAGTTCCCATAATTTTCTTTCCGTGCATTCTTTTACCTTCTATATTATCAACTCTACCAGCTTCAACTAATTTTTTAATTAGTCTGTTCCCTATGTTTTGGAACCTAGACGTAGGGTCCACTACTACTTTTTTATAAGTGTTGACAAGCGAAACGTTGCAATTCCTATAGTTTAACATCTTCATTTACTGTCCAAATTCCCAAGAACTAACCATCTGGATAATTTTTTCTTTAAAATATGGGCGAGAACTTAAATATTAGTATTCTTTAATATTCATTACCGCTAAATACCTAACTAAAAAATAATATTCTACATAGTATTTATTCAAAAACAGTATTTGTTTTTGCAAAGTAGCGATGGAGAATAAAAATAAAAATTGGAAATTTTTCATTTTATTCATTTCTAACATAGAAGTGAACTAAAAATAAAACCAAATTTTTAATAATTTTCCATTATGTCAGAAAATATTCGGCAAAATTACTGTAATATTACGGTAATTATTCGGAATTTTTTGGGTAAAATTTGGGCATTAATGCGGTAATTGTATAGTATATTTTTGGTAACTGTACAGCATAAGTGCAGTATACATACTGGATATTTACAGTATAAAAACTGGCCAAAACAACTATAGTTTAACCGCATTATTACGGTAAATATACGGCATGAGCATAAATGCCGAAAAATTACGGTATTTTTACGGCATTTTCAAAACCGCGAGGGAAAGTATAGCTATGTAGATAGGGGCAACCAATGGTTTTCCGAAGTTCGATTTGCCAAATTTAGATGTAACTAAGGGATTCTATGGCACTATCGAAGTTTGGCCTACCCACTAGTATGAAGTAACTTCCATCGAAAGCAAGTCGAAGAAAATCCAGGTTCGGTTCTGATCACACTGGTAGAAGAATTTAATTAATTTATTAACAGTTAATAAATTCTTAAAACTTTATTTGAAATCACTTTAATTTATTTAATTCTAACAAATATTTTTTAAACATTAAATGTACATTTATTTAGAAGAAAAGCACATTTATCAACAATTAACCCTAGACTGATGGTCACCCTATGAGCGTGACGTCGCGCTCAATTATATTTTGTTTATTACATCTTCAATATTTACTAAAATTATTCAAAAAAATTTGACTTTGTTCCTTGAACATTTTAGAATATATTAAAAATTTTTTCAAACATCTTCGAAAACGTTAAATTACTAAAAAAAAATTTCTTAAAAAAATTTACGGGGCTTTCCTCATCGCTTGGCCAGAGTCGTAAGTAGTTATTTGTCCGCAGCGTTGCCGAAAACACCTCTAGTCTCTGCCTGTCAAACGTGTATGAACTGGCAACACTGTACGCTCTAAAAGCATTGTGGCAAATCCCTCATCACTCGACCAAAGTCGTTAGGTCGCGTTTGTTGACCAGTCTAGGGTTAATAAATTGTGCTCAATGAATTTGTTAATTGTTAAATTAATATACTTACCTTTTTGCAGTGACGTCGACGCCACCACCTCCTCCCCCACCGCCACCACCACCCCCCTCCTCCACCCACCACCACCTCCTCCACCACCACCCCCTCCTCCACCACCACCACCTCCCCCACCACCACCTCCTCCACCACCACCTCCTTCTCCACCACCACCTCCTTCTCCACCACCACCTCCTCCTCCACCACCTCCTTCTCCACCACCACCTCCTTCTCCACCACCACCTCCTCCTCCACCACCACCACCTCCTCCACCACCTCCTCCTCCACCACCTCCTCCACCACCACCTCCTCCACCACCCCCTCCTCCTCCACCTCCGCCACCACCATTACCGACACCATACCCATTCCCATCAACACCTCCTCCACCACCTCCTCCTCCACCACCTCCTCCTCCACCGCCTACGTACCTTCCACCACCACCACCTCCACCTCCACCTCCACCACCACCTCCACCACCACCTCCACCACCACCTCCACCACCTCCTCCACCACCTCCTCCACCACCTCCTCCACCACCTCCTCCACCACCTCCTCCACCACCTCCTCCACCACCTCCTCCACCACCTCCTCCACCACCTCCTCCACCACCTCCTCCACCACCTCCTCCACCACCTCCTCCACCACCTCCTCCACCACCTCCTCCACCACCTCCTCCACCACCTCCTCCACCACCTCCTCCACCACCTCCTCCACCACCTCCTCCACCACCTCCTCCACCACCTCCTCCACCACCTCCTCCACCACCTCCTCCACCACCTCCTCCACCACCTCCTCCACCACCTCCTCCACCACCTCCTCCACCACCTCCTCCACCACCTCCTCCACCACCTCCTCCACCACCTCCTCCACCACCTCCTCCACCACCTCCTCCACCACCTCCTCCACCACCTCCTCCACCACCTCCTCCACCTCCACCACCACCACCTCCTCCACCACCTCCTCCTCCACCACCTCCTCCACCACCACCTCCTCCTCCACCGCGTCCTAGACCACTACCCCCACCTGCTCCTCCACTACGTCCCCGACCACCGCCACCTCCTCCACCTCCACCGTCGACAAGAAGACCAATAATTTCCACTCCAGCTCCAAAATACTTACCGCCATATACTCCCAGAGTTTCGATGCCTGTTCCTTCGCCTCGTCCCGTACCAATACAGCCTATTCAACCACGTCCAACTTCTCCTCCTCGTATTCCACAACCAACGTATCAACCAACTCGACCTCCAGCTGTGCAACTACCCGTTAGCCGGAGCTACTTACCTCCATCAGGCTGACTTATTTACTGGTTTCTTCAAGCTTAAATGGTAGATAATTGTACACTGAAATATATTGTATGAGAGTCAACATTTTTGTCAAGGAGTTTTTGTAAAATAAAGATTATCTGCAGCAATCAAATAATCTCGAAAGAATATAAATGTTTTGACATAAATTAAATAGTCTTTAGATGAATGATTATTTTAAGGAGATCCAATTACCGTCCTAGTGTAAAGAATGTCTATAAAAAAATAATACGTACATGGAAAGAAAATTGAAGGAGTTTTTACTATTTTACTATTATAATTTTTACTAAATAAAATAGTAACGGTGGACTATACTTCTCATTTAGTAATTTTTACGATCTACTATTGTAAATTTTATCCAACAAATAAGACTAGCAAGAGTCTTAAAAAGTTTGGAAAATCCAAAAGTGCACGCCTCATAACGCTCATTCATTTTTTAAGAAAAAAATTGTGTAATTGATTAAAAAATAAATTATAATTAAGTAATTTCTTACAGAGTATTTTTTATTTTTAACTTCCCGCTAAAAATCTCAGATTTTCAAAAATCGGGAAGTTATTGTTTTCACCCCGTTTTACAAAAATCGAGTTTTCATCAGATCTCGACGTTTGAAGGTCACAGGAAGCTTCCCTGACTATTTTTACGATGATGTCCGTACGTCTGTATGTGTGTGTGTGTTTTTTTTATAGAGGAGGTAAAATACATTTACGTATGCCAGGGCTTGGTGTTGTTGCCAGGACTAGGTGTTGGTGCCTGGGTATGTCGGACTCGGAAGTCAATATTTGCAACAATACCGACTAAACATCCTCCTCTCTCCTTTCCCCAATTTGACGCTTTCTGCCCGTCGAGCAAAAAAAA